GGGGGGGGGGGGGGGGGGTTAGGAAGAGTGGATTTCGCTTCAGACAACTATACCGAACCATCGAGCGTGACGTGGAGCTAGTGCAGGGCATCCTCTGTTGGTCCTCCCGGCACGGAGCGAAAGACCGGTATGGACCGGTCGAAAAAACAGGGGCAACGCGCGAACCGACGATGAACATGCACGGACGACCTTTCCGAAAAAACGCATGTGCGGAACGAGCCAGAGGTTCGCTTACGTAGATAGCGTTCGGCACTCTAACCCTGTCGGTAGGTATTTGGTAGCGCGCGGAAACGAGAGAAAAGGCGACACCTTGACGTACTCCCACTATAAAAGTCGTTCCGTTCCGTCCGTCTGTAGATCGCGTGCAGGCTGCCTACGACGGCGTGTACTCGTTCTGCTGGACACTGCTGTGCGCACGCTCCAAGCAGAGCACTCGCTCACCCCTTCAAGCGGGTGGCACACCAGCTGTTCTGCACACGACAGAGAAAACAAAAACATGCTTCACGCACGTGCCGGCTGCCAACATCACGTGAATCTAAACTATCGCAGCATACCATCCATCCGACAAGCGAGGTAAGGGCGGCACCACCCTCATCACGCCCACCGGCGCACCTGTTGAGCAGTGCAGTCTCTTCCCGAAGCGGACGGCACAGCTGATTGAACGCCATCAGGCCGCCTAGGCGTCGGTTCTTGTCAGGGTGAGTGGCGAGGGAGAACACCCGCGTCAGGAGCGCATCAACGGCTGCGGGTCCCTCCGCCTGCGAAATCGGTGATCGAAACGGCGGGTGCACGTTTCGTGCGTGGCTATTCATTTCCGGCGCTTGGCAAGGGGATGACGTTTACGTGATGAACTCCCTGCTTCTAGGACACATGTATTTTTAAGAAAAATATGAGCGACTTTCTTAAAGCGGGGACGACTTTGCTATGATCAGCGGGGCTTTGCCTGCTCACCCTTGAGAGTCAAAAATAAGAGTTCAACATGCCGCTCACCTGTTGCCTCTTCGTTGACTGCTTGATGGCGTAGCGGAGGAATTCGACGACACCCTTGGCGCACACCTCCCTTAGCGGCCCCCCGTCCTCCGCCGCTGCGCCCTCCCCTAGGCAGTCCAGCAGCGCCAGCGTGTCGTCGTTTTCGGTTTGTGCCTGCCGCAGCAGTTGTTGTTGCATATGCGGGCACGTCCGGGGCGAACAGCATGCATCGGTTCATCGACAAAAAGGGTGGTAATGAGAGAGATGCGCGGAGACAAGACAAAGGGTGCAAGGCGTGATAGAGGCGGCAGAGTGTCGCTGGCTAACCACGATGCACACGGCCTGAAGTTGTTTGCGCATGAGGGGACGTCCGGAGCGGACGGACGACATCCCTCTCCTGAATCCCAAACCGACATGTACGTGAATTATGCTTCGACTGTTACAGTTTCAATCTTCGATCCGGAGAATAGCCTAGCCTCGGCCGTGACGGGGCTACAGATCATGGCTTTTGAAGCGTTTTCTGTTTTGTAGTTGCGCTGAGACTGACGGTCTGTTCATTGATCAGCCGGTCGACGCTACTGACAAAGACACGCACAGACACACGCCCACCCCGTCGGTAAAACCCATTGGCTCGAAAGGGTGTTCGCGTTTCGTATATATAGACTACCTCGCTGTATGCATGAGACTGACGTCTTTTCATCGGTCAGCCGGTTTCCGCGGTCGATGCAAATAAATCTACACAAACGGTTCGCGTTTTTCATCCCGTGTAAGACTAGCATCTTTTATCTGTCAACCGGTTAGCGCGGTCGATGAAAAACGAATAAACACGCACACATCTCTTCACTGGGCAGCCGGTTAGCGTGGTCGATGCTAGTAACAAAAACACAGGCACGCACACACGTGGGCACGGTATCTGCCATTAATCCGGAGTGCAGCATAGCCTCCCCCAATACGCCCCCTCATGGGGTCCCAGATCATGGCCTTCAGAAAAATATTGTGTTTTCAACAGCACTGAGACTGACGTATTTTCTTTGGCCAGCAGTTAAGCACCGTCGATGCTAGAAACAAAAACACAGGCACGCACACACCTGTGAGAACCAGCGAACGAGTTGCATGGACAGCTTCGAGAAGAGGGTCCTCGTCGTCTCGTCTAGGTCCACGGCGAGCCTCAGGACCGCGGGAAACACCCGCCGAAAAAGCTTCGAGAAGTCTCCAGGCCGGCCCTGCTGCCCGGAGGAAGGGTCCGTCGCCGTGCAGCCAACCTTCGGGTATGTTTTAAATATTGAGTCATAAGAGGGGCCAGCGAGGGGGGGGTGTCATACAGCCGTAAGATCGAGGGAAATGACGATAGCCTAAATAACACATCCGCGCTGTCCACACGGACGAATGGAGCAAAAGAGGGGGAAATTGAAATCCTGAGAGAAGAAGCGTGCATGTTGGGGAGTGAGAGGCAGAAAGGGAGAGAGAGAGAGAGAGAGAGAGAGAGAGAGAGAGAGAGAGAGAGAGACGATAAACATTGAAGCAAACGGTCGCACAGTATCAAACTTTTCGACGAGCTGATGGCTTTGGTAACGCGTTACAATAGGGTATCAGAGTCTCGGCATGCCTCGCTCGGTCGAATAGAGGGCAATGAGGAGGGAGTTAAGGCCCAACAACGAAAGAAGGGTCGTGAAGGGCACGAAGCTGCATCGTGATACTTCCTCGTGTGCGGACGAAAGTTGTCCAACCAAGAGAGGTTGACTACACATGCAACCCAATATTTACTCCACCAGGACCACCAGGAGCGGGACTGTCATTGGTCTCCAATATCTCCCACGTGCCCACGACTAGTAGAGCGGCGACGCATTCTGGCGTAAGGAGAGTCTCGGTAGCCGTTCGTCCAACCATCGGAGGCCAGCTCTGAGCGGGCAAAACAGACGCGGCAAAATGGCTTTACGACGAACTTTTCTTCGAAGTGCAACAATCTCAAGCTCGACTTCCAAAGATGCGAAACACGTGCAACACTGCGAGAGCTACGCCTACGCCTACCATGTAGACGACGAGAGCGTGGAGGCATTCCGCGGCCAGGGTCTTGGTCTGCCGTGTCCCCTCGTGCAGAGCCAGCTCGACCAGCCTCTGGAGCACCCCGTCCAGGCAAATCGTGAGCGGGTTCTGCCTGTCCTTGAACGGCACTTTGAGGAGGATGCGCGGCGTCGTGTCCCAGGCCAGGGAGTCCGAGAGTGCCTGCGAGGCGTCAGTTGCGACCAGGTGGTTCCTGAAGGTCAACCAAAAACACGCCGAAAATGGGGGAGAAAAGATAGCCAAGTAGGTGCACCAGACACAGCTGTATCAGACATAGTTGTTGCCAAAGATCGAGGGAAATCTGGAAAAAATCACACGTACCAGGTGCACAACTTCAAAATGTGTTAAATACATGAACAGCAGGGTTGGGTTTGGTTGTCTCGGGACGTCAACGGGGCCGCGTGATCTGCTGCTCGTTGCACTAACGTATCACGGCCTGATGACATCTGAGAGGGCTTGGGGGACGTGCCAAATGGTAGCCCCTACGGGGTGAACGATAAGTCGAGAGAAAATATCAAACCAGAGAAGCGGCAAACGAGAGATCGGAGGTGTATCATCAATGGTTTGGCCATATCAGGAGGCATTCAAGCTTTCCATGTCTGAGTATTTTGCCTTCGAGCGTCTCACAAAGCTTTCGAGTTCCTACATGGTTCGTTGGCAAGAGATAATTCGGGTCGAAAATCACAAAAAATAAAATATATTTATATAGCCGAATGTCGATCTCGTGCAGCCAAATCACTGGATACCCGACCAGAAATGACCCCAATACCCTCAAGCCCCGGCCGACAAAACAACCACGTTTCTCCAGCGCTGCTATCATAGTACCACCCAAACACACACACACACACCTCCCTCCTAGCCTTCCCAGAAATCGCACGATCCTCCTGCGTAATTCCTTCCTTCTCGACCCTTCTCCAGCGGTGTCCCCGCTCCCCCCACCGGAAGCGGAAGATCCCGCCGCCTTCCCGCCCTTGGAACGCCTCACTTTCTCGGCCGATCCCCCGTCGCCCCCGCGGCCGGCGGACAGGTGCTTGTCTAGGTGCGGCAAGATCTGAGCGGGACGGCAAGCAAGGATAAAAACACTCAGATTTGTCCAAGGGCAAGAGTCATCACCGACTGAGAACCACCGTCTTCCGGCGCGCGTTTGACCTGAACCCTGGGCGATGCTCGTAACCGCTTTTCTCAAGCGCTTCGACTGGGCAACTACACATGCGCCATCCGCCACAACCGACAACGAGACATCGCCAGGCCCAAAAAAAACAGCCCCAAAACGCTTTCGAAAGCGAAAATCATCGTCAACGACCCCCCCCCTCACCTCTCCCAAGTGGGGCCACAACAGGTTGGGGGTCTCCTCCCTCCACCTCTCCAGCGCTTCCACCGCCACCACCGCGGTCGGCAGGTGCGACGTTCCGGACGTGAGCGCCGCCCTGAGGGCGGGGACGAGGGGGGTTAGATCCCCCCCCAGCAATCCCACCGGAGCGCTCAGGAGGGTTTCCGTGCAAGCGGCCAGGAGCTCGTCGCGGAAGCCGCCCAGGCGCACCGTCATCCACTCGAGGTACCTGTCGCGGGGGGTACGTGTTTGGTGGTGTGGGGGGAGAGCGGTTGTCATCGACTCGAGGTACTACACCGGGGGCTGGGGTGTAACGGGGGTGGAAACAGGCCAACACAACCCAAGAAAAGAACCGACATATCCGACGGACGACACCCGCCTGCACAAAATCCTGCGGCAATTGATTCTCTCGCCGGCGTCTCCGACCCTTTCTCTGGCAGCGGCCTGGTCACCGCCACCTCCTCCAGTCGCGGAAACCTGATCACCCCGGCCTCCGCCGCCGCCACCACTGCTGCTGCTGCTGCTGCTGCTGCTGGCCCCTCCGCCCAGGCTTCCTCCGCCCATGTCGAGACCGATGGCCGTCACCACGGATCCCGGCGAGGGGGGGGACAGCACGGCCTGCGCACACGAGGGCGAAAGCGTGAAGAGTGAGGCGCGAAGCCGTTGCCACCCTCTTGACACGAAGGGCCATTTTGCTGAACGGACCGTATCTGAAAATCTTCCTGCGGTTCCAAACACCGATCCAAGTCTTCTAGAAAAACTTGCAAATTCCAGACTGTCTGTTTGTTCGATGGCGCAACCGAGAATCCAACTGTAAACTTGGAAACACAATGAGCAAGACGTGTCCTGTTTAAGAAGACCCCTAAACCGGGGTGATGTTGCACGCAAGGGACACTAGCTGTACATGGGAGTAGACGGTGCAGGGTTAGCAGGGGCTTGGAAGGAGTACCTGATTTTGGTTCTTTTTGTGACGGCGCCGTCATTCCGCTGCATCCCATAATAACAAAGACGACATGCCTTCCTGTCTACCGGCGTTCTCACCTGATCACAAGGCGTCTCTGGTGTGTTGTCATCGAAATACCCCGAGCGAGCGGTCTCGCGGAATACCAGGGTGACCAACCGGTAAAACCCGCTTACTAACGGCCGTTCCAAGGATCGTTTCACGAGCTCCGAGCAGAGGATAGGAACCCATTCCAGAAGAAGGTCTGGGCGACACCTGAATTTAACAGAGCGGGGGAAGCGTCACACGAAAAACAATTCATTTTATGCTCTCGTTGGTCATGTTTAAGTGTTTGTAGTCATCCCGCAGGGCTCCTTTTCTATAGCTGTCACGGGGTTCTACCTGTCCTTTCCTCGGCCGTACCTTGCAGAAGCCGAAATCGAACCATTGGTGGACTAGTCAGCACTGAATAGTCGTATGGTTTGATTTTGGCTCCAAGAAACGTTAGTCGTGGGGTCCGAATGCCATAGAAGCGAAGTCCGAATGCCATAGAAGCCGACATCAAACCACGAGACGATCAGTCAGCGCCGTCCAGCCTAGTGGGCATATTCCGGCTTCTACAGCCTTCGTCAGGCAAGAGCTCTGCCTGACCCGGGGCACACAGGCGAATTCTTCTGCGGGACATGCGACAGCGAGATACGCACGCATATCAAGCAAAAGATTCGTGGTTGTATCATCACCACCGGCGTATCCACGGGTAGATGGAGTAAACCACAGAACGAACCGACAACATCGTATCAACGCCCCATGTACACAACGTTTCCACGCCACCACAGTTGCTGACACGCGGCACAGGAGATGCGACTCACGTCGGGAGAAGATCTTGGCAGAAGGAGACCAGGTTGAGGAACATGTTCTGGTCCGTCGCATGGAGAGGGATCGGCCTGCACGCGGAGGGACCAAAAGCAGCAAGCGCGACATACAATATCGCCGTGTGTCGATTCCGTGGACAAAAAAAAACGAACCGCCAAAAAGGGACGGGGAGCTTTTCGACGATCGCCGCCAATGGACATGGTACTTCTACTCCGACGTTAGCGATTGAGAATTTTTGTGGTGTCTGCGCATCTTCCGCCACATTTTAAATTCGTGTGCTCGCGCGGTAACGCATATACAGCAGAAAAACAACGTGTGTGCTCTCGATCCACTACGAACACGCTTGGTGCACTCAAACATCAAACGCGTGCGTGTGTCACAGGCTCCCTTTTCCCCCACAACTGTCCTCGAGCAGCGTTCTGAACGCAAACGGATAGCAGCATTAAGCGTTTTGAATTACTGTAGGTGATATGACACAATAAACCACACCGCCCGGAACGATTTTCAAAGCTCGATTACTCCACGACAAAGAGGATGCATATTACATGAACGAACGATGCTTTTCCGGAAAGCTCTACAAGAGACGGCTCCAAGGTCGCCGTCTTCGGCATCGCTGCTCTTCCTGGCGTAGATAAATCGAGCTTTGAAAACCGGTCCAGGGTGAGTGGAATGTTGTGCCACCGACGGTACATGTCCGCACCTTCCCCCTTCTTCGGGGGTGCCGTAGGTGTAGCGTAGATCCAGCCTCTTGACCGCCGTCAGCACGGCGCCCAGCACAGCATCGTATACCTCGGGGGCGATGGCGTCTCGATACAGCACCCCCGACCCCCCCGACACAGCCGCCGCCCCCGCCGCAGCCCCTACCGCCCATAGAAACACGCCAAACAAAACAAGGACGCACCCGCCATGAAAGTTGAATATCTCTCAGTTCGCACGATGAAACCCGTACGTTCGCTGTAAGGAACTGACTAAACACTGTTTTGCTACTGAATTCTTCCATGTCATAAAAAAACGACAACTTATTCGGCCTACAATAGCAAACTTTTCGTTTCTCGAAAGGGTACGCGTTACAGATAACAATCAAGGAGCACGAACAGCGAGGCAAGGCAATTCATTGTTGCGGTATTCCGCATAATTATCGCAATAGTAGACACACAAACACAAACGACTAATCCTCTTTCTCACCCGATCCAGGCACCGCCTCCCACGCTTGCAGGGGCTCAAGCTCGGCCGACCCCGGGTTCACAACACGCCTCCACAGGTCAGCGTACAGGAAGCAGAGACGCGCGTCCACAGCGCCCGTGACGGGATCGACAGGAGCTACCCACTTCACCGGGGTGTCGCTGGGCTCTCCAGCTTCGTCTACACCGCCTCCCGGATTTTCCATGGTACCTGCGAGGCTTACCCCTTTCTGTACTACGACGCCGAGCTTCAGACGAGGAGGGGGGGGGGGGGGGG